GCCATATGCAGGAGAATATATGAGAGGGTGCTTTGATTCTGCCCGCCCCTCACTCCAAGCCCTCCTTCCCACAACTGAGGCTCTTTCTGATATTCCTCAAGCATGTGGCTTGCTAACCATATGAATAAGCCTGTCTGTGTTTGTGACTCTCTCTGTCACAGGTACACATATGAATGCACACACACACACACACACACACACACACACACACACACACACACACATACCACTCTCCAAATCTCCCCGGTGTCTCTCTCTTCAGGATCCACACATCCCTAAACACCCCTGTCATAGCTTGCCCCTCCATTCCCTGCCTCCTGCTCAAGAAGAGCCCTGCCTGCTTCGGATCCATCCTCTCCTTCTCTATTATCTACACTGTTTTCCCTTTGGACTGGAGCAATAGCACAGCAGGTAGGGTGTTTGCCTTGCATGAAGCGACCCGGGCTCGATTCCTTCATCCCTCTCGGAGAGCCCAGCAAGCTACTGAGATTATTCTGCCCATATGGCAGAGCCTGGCAAGCTCCCCATGGAGTATTTGATATGCCAAAAACAGTAACAACAAGTCTCACAATGGAGATGTTACTGGTGCCTGCTCGAACAACAGGAAGACAGTGCTACAGTGCACTGTAGTGCTTTCCCTTTGGCTAAAGAACTTCCCTTTAGTTTTTCTTATCCCAGGAGTTTGGGGGTACTTCTCTTCTCTAATTGGGGCCACCCCGATGGAACCATGGGAGCTGACGCCAGGCCCTGCCACGTCTATCCAGTGGTGTGAACCTACAATACAGTGCTTTTTGGGGGCCAGCAGAGTTTCCCCACCTTGTGATGCCTTACCACCACCTGAGCCTTCTCCCTGTTCCTAATCCTTTAACCCTCCTGAACCATTCTCCTAACTCTTTTCCTCCTCTTAAAGTCAATGTTATTTGCTTTTTTTTTTTTTTGAGGGGGAAAGGGTGACATACCCAGCGATGTTCAGGGGTTACTTCTGGCTCTACACTCAGGAATTACTCTTGATAATGCACATTTGGGGAACGGACCAGGGCTGGCTGCACGCAAGACAAATGCCCTACCTGTTTTACTATCACTCCAGCTCCCTGCCGCCAACATTCCTGAAATAGTTTTTCTCCCATTGCAGCATTCACTTCCTCCCCACCTGTTCATTGTTACTGTTTTGTGCACCTGTCTTTTTAATAGTCAATACGTATTCGCAGTACAGTGTTCAAAGCATTCCAAAAAGTACATTATGAGCCATCTTCCTCCTATTGCTGTGCCCAAGCTACACCGGTCTCCTCAGGGGCACGGCCACTACCAGCTTTGTCAGCTAAACCTTTCCAGAAAGCTCTGTGTGCATTTCTTCTCCTTTGTACTTTTTATACAAATGAAGGCACCAATGTATATTTGCTACTTTGGGCTTTTTTTACCTTAAACATCTTGAATGTGGGCTGGAGTTCAATGGGTTGAGCACATGCAAAGCAACATTTACTACGTGGGAGAAGCTAGGTTCATGACTGCATAGTCCCCTGAGCTCTGCCAAGAGTGACCCTTAAGCACCGAGCAAGGAGTAGCTCCTGAGTACTGCTCTGTGTGGCTCCACGCTCCCCCACCCCAAAAGAAAAATCTGAGTGGGGTTGGAGAAATAGTACCACAGGAAGGGCACTTGCCTTACATGCAGATGACCCAGGTTCGATCCCTGGCACCACATACAGTTCTTCAAGCCCTGCTCAGGAAGTCATCCCTGAGTGTGGAGTCAGGAGTCAGCCCTAAGTACCACTGAGTGTAGTCCAAGAAAATTTTCTGTTCTTTAGTTTTCTGCATGAGTATTTTCAAAGCTTTTTCATACCTTTTAATAACTGTCAAGGTCCCTCTGTGAAGATGGACCATGATTTCTGTGTTGTGGACAGTGAAGAGCTTTTGAGTCCTTTGTTCTAACAAACATGTGCATTCAGTATCTTTGCACATAAAGAATTTTCCTTCTTTATGTGCTCATATGTGGGATAAGCCAAGAAACTTTTGCGTGCCGGAATTAAATTGCTCTCCATAAAAGTCGCACTCATTCACCTGGCCCTAGCAACGCATGGGAGGACTTCATTTTCCTCATTCTCCCCCAGAGGCTTTCCCAACAAGCGTTTTTATATTTGTCAGTCGGATAGGTGATACGAGATCATTTCAATTTGCACTTATTTTTATGAATGTGTCAAGCAGTCTCCAACAGTCTCCTGCTGAAGAACCTTTTGGATTTCTGCTTCTGTGAACTGTCCTGTCCTTTGCCCATGTTCCTAGTATATTATTGGTCTTTAAAGATCCCTTAGAACTCTCTATACAAGAAAACTGGTTTTTCGTCTGCGCTGCAAGTCACAATATTTTTAGTTTCTCTCTAACCCTTTGCAATCTGTCTTCTGTGCCCAATAAAGCAAATGGAACTGCTGTCTTATGGTTCCCAGAGCCTCATCATCGCGACATCCAAGACCTCTCTATGCATGTGTGGTTCCACACATTCAACAGGAGAAACCCCTCCTTCTGGAACACTCCCTTTTTCTTACATGCCTGCTTTTTCTTGGGCCATCTCCCTCTTCTCTGTGCAATATTTTTCTCCTCTTTGTTGTTGTTTTGCTTTTTTTTTCCTCCCTTGCTTTTTTTTGCATTGCGCTGAGTCAAACCCAGGACCTTACATATGAGCAGCACTGAGTGCCAGCCCCTCCCTTCATTGTTGTCATTGTTGTGATGGTGTTTTGATGTTATTGTTATTGTTCTTGAAGTGGTTGGGTCACAGGCACCTAATGGTGATGCTCGCGCACTTCGGCTGTGGTGCTTGCTGGGATTGCAGTTCTATTTTGTTTTTCAGTGGTGGTGTCACAGCTGGGATCTAGTGTTCTGCAGGGATGGCACACTTGGTTGTGGCTCTGGGGGATTCCAAACCACCAGGAGCACCCTTGCCTTGGAGGGGGAGGAGTGACCTATTCCAACCCCCAGCCACATGCGTACTACCCAGGCTCTACTGGGGCCACTGCTTAAATCTCTCCCACAGGTACACAGACTTCTGCAGTCTGTGGCTCTCCTGTTCCTCGTGAAACTCCCTTACAGGTGTCTATGGCGTCCTAGGGTGCCCTGGGACCAGCCCTAGCTGCAGTCCTTGAAAGCAGCTCCCCAACTTTCCTTCTCAATCCACAACATCAAACGCCACCCATGGTCAATCAGCGTGGCCACATGGGTGCCATCAAGCTTGCTCCTCTCAGCTTCCCTCTCTCTGCCAGACTCCTCCCTCTCACCCAGTCCTTCCAGGCCTGAACCCCACCACCCCACATCCACAGATGCTGCTCCATAGAACCTAGGTGAGCTGCAAGCCCATAGGAATGTGGGAGTTGTGAAAGCTCTTTAACATGTGTTCTAAAATTAATTTCTTTGCGATTTATTATCAGCAGATGTTTTGCTGTATTTATCTATTTTATATACTTGTATACCCGGGATCACATAAAAATTTCTCCAGTATGGGGGATGGAAGATAGTACAGCAGGTAAGGTGTTTACCTTGAATGTGGCCAACTTGAGTTCATTCCCCAGCATCCTCTATGGTCCCCAAACCCAGTCAGGAAAGATTCCTGAGTATAGGAGTAAGTCCAGAATACTGCTGGGTATAGAAAAAAAAAAGAAAAGAAAAGAAAAGAAAAGAATCTTCAGTGAGAAGTTGGAGAGTACAATAGGTAGGGAGCTTGCCTTGCATCCAGCAAAACCAAGACTCAATCTGCAGCTTCTCACATGGCTCCCTGAGCCCTGCCAGAAGTGATCCCTGAGCTCAGAGCCAGAAGCAAATCCTAGGTACCGTCAAACGTGGCCCCCAAATATCAAAACAACAAAAAATCTTTTTTTCTCTCCAGAAAAAAAAAGGGTTTGGAAGTAGAAAAAAAAAAATGTTTGAAGCCCTTCAGAACATTTCAGCCTTCCTGAAACCTCACCAGCATCAGGCTGTGGGCACACCTCACCATCCAACAACTGCTACACTGCAGCCCTGACCAGCCAACCTCCCTCCACTCAGAACCAGGCTTCCTCTATGCACCCACACACAAACACACCTATCTTCATCAGGGTACTCTGCACAAAGCCAGAAGCCATTGTGAAGGAATGAAGCCTGGATCCCAGCGAGGTGCTGTCTGGCAGATGCTTCTCCTAACGGGAAAAAGTCTCCACATGGAAAGCTAAGCAGAGGAGAGGATTTTATGTTTTGCTTTCACTCAGGGAAATGCCATCTGCCAGGTCGCGGGTGACACACACCTCGCTGGGATCCGGGCTTCATTAACTTTTGCTTTGCTTGGCCAGTCAACCTGCACCTTTTTCAGGTCTCCCCACCCTCTCCCTCTGCTGGATTTAGTGCAGTGGCTTGTGCCTCCCCCTGTCCCCTCTCCATCTTCCCCTCTCTACCTGGAGACACTAGAAACAAAGACAGTGTGATCTATCTAGTCCAGACCCCATCCCGCAAGCCAGATCGGTCACCCCATGCACCAGCCCCAGTTGTACACACACACACACACACACACACACACACACACACACACACACACACACACTCCACAGTGCAGCCAGTAAAATTATACTGCAGGAAACGGGCCTCAGACCCGGGTGAGCGGAGTCCTTAGCCCGGCTCCGAGATCCTAGAACCGTGCAAGGGAGCCTGGCATAGCAGCGCTGCTTGGAGTCGCGGGACTCAGCATTCAGAACCCACCTATACCCGCATCCTCACCACGACACCGTCAGGTTTACCGAGTTGTCTGGGGGACCCCAAGGTGGAGAGGGAGGGGGGAGGGGCGACCGGGATTGCAAGGGAAAGGGAGGGGGGCTCCCGGGGGCTGCTCGGGAGGAAAGGGAGGAGAAAATTGAGGCGCTGGGCGGGGTGGAAGCGGTGGGACTGGCGCGGGCACCACCGACGGGGGTGCGTGCCTCTGTGTGTGTGTGTGTGTGTGTGTGTGTGTGTGTGTACACGCGCGCGTGCGCGCGCTGCGTTGAAAGGTCCTGCACGTCGGGGGGCGGCTGGGACAGAGCCCAGGGCGCGCGCCGAGTCAACCCCGGGTTCCCTCCTGCAGCCGCTGCCATGACCGAGGGCTCCGACAAAGTTCCCATCGCCCTGGTGGGGCCTGAAGACGTCGAGTTTTGCAGCCCCCCGGTGAGTACCTATCGGGGTGCCCCTCCATCTCTGCCAGATTGGTCCCTGGGGGGCTCCGATCCACCGTGCCCGGCACGGTGCGGCCGAGATGGGAGGTGGGTGCCCAGAAGCCCCTACCCCGCGTGTGCATGGGTTCACAGTGAGTGTGAAGGGGTGCGTAGAACCGGGACCAGGAGGGTCGTCGCAGGCACTCGCCGGGCCCCAGGGTCCGGGCCCTCCCAGCGAAGTTTGGCCGCGTGCACTTTCCGGCTCGGGTCCCAGGGATGCCCCTGAGGGAGGGCACATCGCGGAAGGGGGTCCCCCAAGGAGCACAAAGCAACGGTTTCCCAACCCCCCCCCCCCCCCCGCCGGCTCCCCGCGAGTGCAGGCGACGCCGGCCTGACCCGTCCCTCTCCGCTGCCTCCCGCAGGCGTACGCCACGGTGACGGTGAAGCCCTCCAGCCCCACGCGGCTGCTCAAGGTTGGAGCGGTGGTGCTGATTTCTGGGGCGGTGCTGCTGCTTTTTGGGGCCATCGGGGCCTTCTACTTCTGGAAGGGGAGCGACAATCACGTAAGTCCCTAGGACAGCCCGCACGGTGCAGACCCGGGTCGGGATCCTCTGGGCCTGGAGGTGAGCTGGGCAGCGAGGCGCGCTCCGTGTGTCGGGGTCCTCGCTGTCACGCGCTTGTTCCCCGCTAGGCGGAGCCAGAGCTCTGATTTTTTTTTTTTCTTTTCCTCCCCCAAAGGGGGCGGTTTGCAGCCGGTTCCCCGGGTGCTCGGGGGCTCCTTCTCCTGTCTTCCATCCAACCCTGCAGCTTTCTGCTCATAGGCAACATTGTATTTAAAAATTAAAAAGTTCCTAGATTTCCGGGATAATATTAAAGCACAGTGTTGCTGGAAAAGGCGGCGGACGATTCAAGGAAAGCCCTTTCGGTAGACTTCAGCCGAATGCTTCCAGTTTGCAGCACCGCTGTGTTCCTGGGCAAAGCATCTCACTCCTCTGAACTCAGTCACTCATCCCTGGGCGAATGCAGGACTGGTGCGGGCGAGGGTGGAACTCAGTGATGGCTCTCCCAGCTGGGAAAGGCTGCGAATTTAAGAATCTAGGAAAAAAGAGGGAGAATACTTAGATCCAGTAATTGGGGACACATTCGGACTTTCAGAAGTTGTTTCTGGTTTTGTTTTGCGTGTTTCTTCCTCTCAAGAGAGGAGAGGGAAGGTTTTCCTGTCACCTTCTTTAAAGGTAACATGTCTTTTCAAATCAATTCTGGCCTAGTCACCTGTAATTGAACGGTAAATATTTCACTAACGGTTGCCCTACTTTCTTTGTATGCAATTATTTATTCTGAAGCTTCAGAGGCTCTGAAGGAGTGTTAAAAAGTGCTTTTAACTTGACTGGGCAGCATTCCAGATGTTCTCTAAATACTCTAAATTTCGTTCACCTGTGTAAAGGAGGGCGTTTTTATCTTGATGATCGTTGCCAGGCCTGGTATAAACTTATTTCAGCTAATGGAAAAGAATTCCATCTCCAGGCTGCACACAAAGGTCTGTTTCTTAATCACCACCCTCAGAGGATCTGAGCCTGCTATCCTGCACCCCCCACCCCCATGAAATTCAAAGCATGAACAAGTTCCAATACTTAGAGAAAATGGTGCTGAAAGCAATTCAGCCATTTTACACATCACATCTTCTGCAGTCACTGCATAATTTGTGTTTTTAACTCAAATGCCTAATGTAGATAAGCACGCCATTTAGCACGGAGTCTGTTTTAGAGACTATATCACATTTACCAGCACCGATTTGTAAGATCAGAATTGCACAGTATTTTGTGTATATATGAAAAGTGCCTTAATGTATTTGTTTTTTACATGTAGAAGCTGGGCCAGATGCTCATATTTGAAAGTAGCAAGTTTGAACATGAGAATATTTCAATATCTACATCTCCATTAATCTAAGCCAGGCTTAGGTGGTCATCCTATGGGAAATTGTATAATGTTTGAATGTGAATGCAGTCTTTTAGATGACAACACCATCATGGCATAGGTCATTTGGGATTAAAAAAAATAGCTTTGATTTATGGGTGGGGAATAAAGATTTTTAGTCGTGATAGACATTAAAATGTATGTCTTTTGGTATTTAGTTATTCAAGGCAAGCCGCAAACTGGCAGGCATGTAAAAAGAGAGAGTACATGATCATATTGAATTAGCATGACTTTTTAAAAATATTTTTTACTTTGCCACAAGATGGTTGACTGGTTCAAGAAAACAGTATTAAATCCTAAGAATACAGAGAAATACTGAATCACATTTTATTGTCAGCAATCAAAGTTATTGCTATTTCCTATACAGACAGGAGAATGAAGAAAATCATGGCAGCTTTTTTTCCTCCCAAAATATTCTATACTGATCCAAAGTCTGGCAAACAAATTACAAAATACTAAATTGAATACACTTAGCACCCCTTGTGAGTAGCATGTACACATATCTGCCTTCCCTAAATGCAAATCTAAATTGCAGAAACAAAACACAATCACAAAAAGTAAGTCTCAATCAAGAAAAAGATCTGCTCAGGACCAGAGTAATAGTACAATGGGTAGGGCATCTTTTTTGCACACGCCCGACTCAGGTTCTATCTCTGGCATCCCATAGGGTGCCCTGAGCACCGCCAGGAATAGTTTTTGAGTACAGAGTCAGAAGTAACCCCTGAACACTGCTGGGTGTGACCCAAAATAAAAAAAAAAAAGACCTGCTCAGTCAATACACTGGGGCATTATCTGTCCCTCTGCACCTCAGTAGTGGCTTTTAGAGAAGAACCACTGTAATTTAACTCCTATACCTTCAAATGGATCAAACACCCACCGCCCCCCCAACATTCACTCCCAATGGGTCAAACCCCCATCCCCCAACACCCACCCCCATCCCCAAAGAAAGGCTGGACTCTGAAGAAAAAAGAATCCGCATTGCAATCATAGAGAAACAAGTGACCAGGCTCAAATATTGAGGCCATGTTTCACCCACATTATTGTAAATGGAACAAGGCATTGAAATATGGGAACTTCCTACAAATATGAGATGAGTGACAAGTTTCCCCTGTGAGATGAGGAGATGAGAATATTGCTGGGGACCTTTCGTCTCAGGCTAGTTTCATCTGGGCATTGTCCCAAACGTGAATGAGTCTTAGAGAACCCAGGCTTTATTAGAAACTCATTAGCAAATAGCCTTGGCTGTGAACGGCACCATATTGAGCAAAATGCTGGCAAATAATAAACTCCATTGGACCTGGGAAGAATTAGCCTGAGGTGCCAACCGCTCCACGGACTCAGAGAAGATAATGTGATTACTGCTCCGCCAGCCCAGCCTCCTTCTGAGCTCAGGGCCCAGAACTTAGGAAATAACTTTGGCCTGTTTATCCCCCGCCCCCCCCATCACTTCAGGCTGCAGACTGCTCACTGCTGTCCACTGCCAACAGTTTACTGCTTAAGAGAGATTTTTATCAGAAGGTCTGTGGTGAGGGTCTGTGGTATGAAAGAACACATGAATCAGACCTTGAGCCTCTATCCTGGCGTTGTGGTCTTGTCTCTTCAAGACCTGCTAAGAATTTGGACATGGGCTAGAGAGATAGTACAGCAGGAAAGGTGTTTGGCTTGCACGCGGCCAACCCAGGTTTCACCCCTGGCACCATATATGGTCCCCTGAGCCCATCAAGAGTGATCCCAGAGCACAGAGCCAGGAGTAAGTAAGACCTGAGCACTGCTAGGTGTGGCACAAAGAAAGAAAGAAAGAAAGAAAGAAAGAAAGAAAGAAAGAAAGAAAGAAAGAAAGAATTTGGAGACAGTGATTTTTTTTTTTTTTTTGCTTTTTTGGGTCATGCTCAGCAATGTTCAGGGATTATTCCTAGCTTTGCACTCAGGAATTACTCCTGGCAGTGCTTGAGGGACCATATGGGATGCCGGAGATTGAACCCAGGTCGGCCGCATGCAAGGGAAAAGCCCTACTCACTGTACTATCGCTCCAGTCCTGACAGTGACATTTCTGAAGTTTCTCATTGCTTTACTATTAAAAGATGTATATGTAAAGCTTCCAAAAGGAAGGAAAAAAATTCTTCTTGTGATATGAGTGAGGGATGCATGTGCCAGCAGGAACTCGCACGCGTGTCACCACCATGCTGTCTTTTGGCAGTTACACTTACCCATGTGAATGGTGGCAGTTCCAGGAGCACGGGGACAGAAGAAAGCCTGTTTGCTGAGCCTGCAGAAAGCCCCAGCTCAGCCAAAGCAAACAGGTTTCCCAAACTGGGCTGGTGGTCAAGACCACCTGAGGTACAAAGAGAAAACAGATTGGTGGGCTCTGCTCCAACTCGCCTGTACTGGAACCACCCCGAGCAGCCCCTGCGAGCAGGCAAGCCCGGGAACCGGCTGCTGCAGAATGCACACTTGTTGGGGGTGGGGGGTGGGGGGGAAAGAAGCACTGAGAGATGCAACAGGATGATAGGATTCTATGTTCTGCTGAATGAAAGCTGAGGCCAAAGCAGGTGCTGACTAGCAAAGCCATTTCTCTATTTCCGTGGAAAAAAGAAAAGAATGTTTTGTGGTCCTTGTGATCATGAGTGCTTTACAGCAGATACTAGTTCCAATGTTTGCCTGTTCTCCTCAGTGTGGAGAAAACCTAAACCTGAACTCAATCGGAACCCACTGCCCTGATACCAGCTAGCAGGTATCATCAGTTCTTGTTTTTTCCCCCTGAAAGATTTTCAATAGGGCTAGAGATGTGACTCAGTGATAGAACACTTGCCTTGCATGTGTGAAGTCCTGGGTTTGATCCCCAGCATCACTAAATAAATACTGTGTGTGTATGTCTGTGTGTGTGTGTGTGTGTGTGTGTGTGTGTGTGTGTGTGGTGTACACACACCAATCCATCTACCTCTTTTTTTTTTTTTTCAAAATTTGTACTTGTTGGGGCTGGAGTGATAGCACAGCAGGTAGAGCATTTGCCTTGCACGGGGCTGACCCGGGTTTGATTTCCAGCATCCCATATGGTCCCCCAAGCACCGCCAGGAGGAATGCCTGAGTGCATGAGGCAGAAGTAACCCCTGTGCATAGCTGGGTGTGACCCAAAAAGCAAAAAAAAAAAAAAAATTGTACTTGTTTACTTAAGCAACAGTCCAGGATGCTGAAGAACAACACACAAGCAGGTGGGGACTCAAGCACCAGCACCAAGCACACAGCATCCAACCATCCGAGAAGGGAACTGCCTCTCTCTCAGGTGTGCAGAGACTCCCCCAAGTGTGGGGGGCCCTGGCTTGCACCTCTACTTGGGATCAATCAGTTTGTGGCAACACCAAAGTCATTAAAATTTTTTTTTCCGTGTGGCAGCAGCAGCTTTGCTCACCAGCCAGCCAAGGAAGGATCTGGCTTGTTTTTAAGGTTCCAAAAAAGAAGGCAGTTTCTTTGCTTTTCAGGCAGCAAGGCGAGCCGCAGGCCTCTGTGGATCCATGTGGCACAGGACACCTCCCTCTTAAGTAAGAAAGCACTTTAGCACTGTCCTTCTGTTGTTCATTGATTTGCTCGAGTGGGCACTAGTAACATCTCCATCGTGAGACTTGTTGTTACTGTTTTTGGCATATCGAATATGTCACGGGGAGCTTGCCAGGCTTTGCCATGCAGGCAGGATACTCTTGGTAGCTTGCTGGGCTCTCTGAGAGGGATGGAGGAATCGAACCCGGGAAGGCCGTGTGCAAGGCAAATGCCCTAGCCGCTGTGCTATTGCTCCAATCCTAAGTAAGAAAAGGAAAGAGAAAAAGAAACCTCCTACCTTACAACCAGAGAAGGTTCTAGCAGAGCAATGCAACACAGGAACATGGTGTGAATTCTTAAACTAGATGCTAATTGTCTATGCTAAGAGAGTCCTCTGTCCTAGTAGTAAACATTTTAAAACTAATGAAACTTGTGGGTGTTGGTGTGTGTTATTTGAGGGGCATATCTGGCTATGTTCAGGGCTTACTCCTGGCTCTGTGCTCAGGGATCACTCCTGGGAGACTCAGGGACCCATATGTGGTGCTGGGGATCAAACCTGGGTCAACTGCATGCAAGACAAGCTTTGAACCTCTGTACTATCTCGGAGCCACTAATTTGTGACAATTTTCCCCAGCAAAATTTTCCTTAGAAGTCCAGCATAAAAATAGTATGAGGCAGAGCTGCTCCTGTTGAACTAGAGGAGGTTGAGTATTGGGACGACAGGAGCCCCTCAGTCTTAGCTGATCTCCAACCCTGGAGCACAGTTGCGATGCCTTGGGGGCTCTATGGACATCAGTGAGCCCTACATTTTACCCTGGCAGCAATTCCCAAGAGCCAGGGAGAAGCAGTGTGGCCACCTGCTTCTCTGAGCACTGTGCCGAGGCTCGTCAATGCTGCAAGTCTCCCTCCCCCCTCCCCCAGGTCCTGACAAAGTGCCCTACAACACCATATGCCTGTCAAGTCATTAGCATGAGAAGCTTCCAGCCCCAGCACAAACAGATGTGCACGCTGACCTTGCTCTCTGCAAACGCGACTCAACAGGAGGCAAAGCCCAGACCTCTGCAGTCCCGCCCATGCACGGGGCCAAACCATGCCCAACAGATGAGAAACCTTTCAGATCGAGGTGTCACCATAGACTTGTTAAGTCAGCAGCCCCGTTAGCCCGCTGCCTCCTTGATTTCCATTTATTCATTTATTCCATTTCCATTTATTCATCAGTGGATTGCGACCACAGTCTCATCATAGAATTGTCCTTTGGGTTTTTGTTTGTTTGTTTGTTTGTTTTTGGTTATTTTTGCTTTTTGGGTCACACGCAGCAATGCACAGGGATTACTCCTGGCTCATGCACTCAGGAGTTACTCCTGGCAGTGCTTGGGGGACCATACGAGATGCTGAGAATCGAACCCGGGTCAGCCTTGTGCAAGGCAAACGCCCTACCCGCTATACTATCGCTCCAGCCCTGGTTTTTGTTTTGTTTTAATGATCTATGCCCATTCCCACCGGTTTTCCTACTCCAGGCAGGATAGAGTTTCTACCCCGATGCTTCTGCATGCTTTGAGGATTGCAAATCACTGGGCTAATTAAATTAGTGTTAGGGACTTCACCTGTAAGGATTTTTCCAAAAGAAAGCATTGTATTAGGTGACTGGTACATAGGTAAAGTTCCCACCTATAAATTATGGCAGTTGAGGATGTTTCAGTGTGTCTGTGACAAATATGAAAGCTGCTGGTCTAAAGATAAGGCCCGGATTGCTCTAAAGGGAAAGCATCACTAACTCTTCCATTTCCTTCCAGATTTACAATGTCCATTATACCATGAGTATCAACGGGAAATTACAAGATGGGTCAATGGAAATAGATGCCGGAAACAACGTGGAGACCTTTAAAATGGGAAGTGGAGCTGAAGAAGCAGTTGAAGTTAATGATTTCCAGAATGTAAGTATAGTCCATGCATTTAGAGAGTTGAAGCAGGGCAAGCCTGGAAGACTTTTCTAATTCTGGGAGAAGCAACATCTTTTAAACACATCCAAACATGCGGATTTTATGGCCATCCCACGCCACTGAGCTGCATACACTGGTAATAGCATTTTTTTCTCTGGTAATAGCATGTTCCTTATATTTTAAAAATAAAGAAAATAGGGGCCAGAGAGATAATAAAGTAGGCAAGACACTTGCCTTGTATACTACCTACCTGGGTTTGATCCCCGGTACCACATAAAGGGCCCCAGAGCTTCACCAGAAGTGATCTCTGAGCACAGAGCCAGGAGTGATCCCTGAGCACAGGTTGTGCCTCCAAAAAAAAAATGGAAGGAAAGAAAACAAAATTTTACAAAACAAATTGAAAACACCTTGAAAAGAAGAAGATCCTAAAATTATACTACATCTTGGCAACTATAGTTGAAAGAGCTACTTCATTGCCCCTGTGGCTATTGACGGGCCATACACAGCAGTGCTCAGAGACCAGGGCCTACACCTGGCCATGCTCCACAGCATTGTTGCTTTCAAAAGTCCGACTGCAACACAGTGACTAAAATGCTCAGACTATTCTAGAATGTTACAAGGTCTGAAGTTTGAATTTACAGAAGGTAGGGAAGTCTTACTGACATAATGGACAACAGTTGGGATCTTTACATACCTAAGTATTTACATGGGAAAGGTTATATATTTTCCTGGTTTGTATTTCCCGTTTATCCTAGAAAACCAGGCCAGAGAAATTCCCTTATAATAGCATCTGCTTTTTGATCACCCCCTATTAGAGACAGAGCATGGCTGTCTCCTTTGAAAAGGGCAAACATATTTGCTTTCAGAAATCCAACTTACAGGCTATTTTGAAATCTTTAAGCTCAGTACATCTGCAACCCACAATATCACTTCGGGCCTGCCTTCCTGTTGGCCAATATAAATATCTTATTCCCTTTCATATTCCACGATGAGGACGAGGCATGCCTGTTTGTGTTCTTTATATCTGCCGACAGAGTAGGTGAGACTTCATAATGAAAAAAGGCTCTTGAAAGTAATGTCTCTTCTGGTAGTTTATTGGCCTACAAACATCTCATCGACCTGTCTTTCTCTGATGGATGAGAAGATGTTTTTTATTTGAATGAAAGAACTCTTGTTGATAGAGAAACATACTTCGCACATCCCTTTGAATGCCAAGCAGATGCTAACATCCGTGCAGGGGGGTGTTACATTGCTCTGACACGACAAGGCCCAGCTGTGTGCGGTGTGGACCCCAGCCCGGACCTGGTTCTGCCACCTGTGCGTGTCCAGCTGTTCATGATGCAGCCACAACTCTGCAAGGAGTTCTGGTCAGTGCACAGTGATAATGTCTCTGTGCCCGTGAAAGGCTTTTCCCGAAAGTGCCAGGACAAGGTGAAAACATCCCCCCCCCTTGTACAGCTCCATATACAATGAAGAAATGTGACTCCCATATGCACATCATTCAAAGCAGAACAACATGGAATACCATAGTGTCCCACTGTATCGAGACTTGCCAAGGCAGCTACACAGATGACTGATAAAAACGCCCTCTCTCTCACAATGAGTATGCATTAGGACTAGGGGCTTAAAATATTTTAATCCCACACCTATATTTCTATTTTATAATCCTTTGGTTCTAATACTGGTATCGATTGTATTTTGCTCTCATAGGCCAACAGGGCCACAAATATTTTAGAAACTGATCAATTCCCTTTGATAGCTTCCACATTTCTCTAAGTCAGAACTGGTGAATAGAACATTTTTGTGATGGATAGAACCTGTTATGGGTTTAAGCAAGCCTGGACTTTTGAAAATACATCAATCAAATTATTCCGGTACCTGTGCTAGTACTTTCTCCCACATTTTAAACCACCAGTCAAGCCTTGCATGTGGCCAACCTGGGTTTGATCCCTGGTACCCCACATGGCCCCACCAAGCCTAGCCAGGAGTGATTCCCTAAGGATAGCCAGGTGTGGCCCAAAAAGAAAGAAGATAGAAAGAGATTTTTTTTAGGCAGCAAAAAAATAGGAACAGAGCTTTCCAAGCCTGGAAAGAAAACCTGTACACAAACTCACCACGGGCTCTGGAGTTCTCAGTAGTGCACTGTGGTTCACGTGGGCACGGGGATGTGTGGGAACATACGTGAGTCAGATTCGGTAGGGTTCTAGTTTGCACCTCAATAAGAGGCTTCCCTGCCAATGCAGGAGTCCACCAAGAATTTAGTTGAGAAAAAAGAAGTTTTGGGGGGATGGGCCTCACCCTTCCTGGGAGCTTCTGGGTTAAGCCATAGCAACAATGGGGTGCCCTAGAAAGAAAAAAATAGTGTCACTAAAATTAGATTATTAGAGTCGATGAAAGCATGTTATATCTTCGGACTTTTCACTCACTCTCTTTGTGAACAAATTTCCTCATTATCACCAGCTTCTGAGGCCTTGTTTGCTTGCAAAACCAAGTTGCTTGGCTGTTTCATAAGCTTTCATTGCCTCTTTCATCTCTTTAATATATTCTGCTGCTTGATGTGGATCTGGAGCGTACGTACACGCTGCCCACAGGACCATGCCTCTGAGGTCTCACCTCTGTCGGGTGACCGTCAGAACTCACTCAGTCTAGATCCACACCCTGGGCTGTGAAGCCTTCAATCGAATTTGCTTTCTTCTTGTGGAATATGGAAACATTCTGCAGTGGTCATAGCAATGGTGATAGGGTTGGTTCTGTGGTGGTTATCCTGTATCATGCAGAGGATACAGGGATTGAGGCTAAGAGTCTCAATCCACAGAGGGGCAAGCTGATGAGGGAGGACCCCCAGTCTCCTTCCTCTGCCTTGTCTTTTTCCAAACTGCAAGTCCTAGATTTATTGGGAGGAAGAAGTAGGTTAGGCACAGAGTTTCTCTAAGTGCGTTCCTGAGGCCACTGCAGCGGCCTTTCCCAGGAGTTTGTTAAAAGTACAGAGTGGGTATCTCATGGTGATTAAAAAACAATAATAATAATTTTAAAAAATAATAATAGGGCTGGCGCAATAGCACAGCGGGTAGGGCGTTTGCCTTGCACACCGCCGATCCGGGTTCAATTCCCAGCATCCCATATGGTCCCCTGAGCACCGCCAGGAGTAATTCCTGTGTACAGAGCCAGGAGTAACCCCTGTGCATCGCCGGGTGTGACCCAAAAAGAAAATAATAATAATAATAATAATAAATAAAATAGAATTAACATTCTGAATTTAAAAAAAGTAATGTGGTGTTCGGGCTGGAGCGATAGCACAGCGGGTAGGGCATTCGCCTTACAAGCGGCCAACATGGCCGACCCGAGTTCGATTCCTCCGCCCCTCTCGGAGAGCCCGGCAAGCTACCGAGAGTATTTGATATGCCAGACACAGTAACAACAAAGTCTCCAATGGAGACGTTACTGGGCCCGCTCGAGCAAATCGACGATCAACGGGGGGGCCTTTACCTTTACCAATGTGGTGTTCATGCCCATTCAGTCAGCTTAATTGATGGCTGAATAAATAGCAGTATTCCTACATTAAAAAAAAAAAGTAGCAAGTGGTTCTGCACTCCCCACTTGCTGAATCTGGAGCTCTGGGAGTGGGGTGCAACCCTTTGTGCTGTATCTAACAAGTCCCCTGAATGATTCTGAAGAAGGTGTGTGAACTTTGGTCAAAGAGACTTGCCCCAGGGCTGTGCCTCAGGCCTCATCAGTGGCAATAACACATCAGCACAGACTGGATTGACCTAAAGACTTGAGTCTGTGGCTCAGTCTGGGAAATGGAGCTCCAGGCTCAAGGCACTGCTCTCAGTCTGGGAAATGGTGCCCCAGGTCCAAGGCATCTTCCCACTGTGTCCTCACCTAGCAGAAGGGGCAAGGTAAGGCACCGGTTACACCCCTGAGGGGGTCTCAAGGCCTAATCACTTTCCACAGGCTTCAACTGCTCAGATCATCACCTCAGGGGTTATGTTCCAACCCATTAACAGCAGGGAGCACAAAAATAGCCTGTTTCAATTGGAACTTTTTTAAAAATCTCAGGGCTAGGACGAAAACAGACATTACTGGGGCCTGCTCGAGGCAATCGACGAATAACAGGATGGTTGTGATCGTTGACAGGTAAAGAGATAATACAAGGCTTAAGACTTGCCTTCCACGCAGCTGGCCTGGGTTCAGTCCCCAGCACCACTGTGGTCCCCAGAGCTCGGCCAGGAGTGATCCCTGAGCACAGAGCCAGGAGTAAGTCCTGAGCACTGCCAGGTGTGGCCCCCAAACAGCAACAGCAAAGCCCATCTGGCTCTGAGATGCTGATGCAGTCTCTGTGCCTGTGAGCATGCTCAGTATGTCGGACTCTCTTCTTTATTTATGAGGGCTGAATTCTGAGGTGGTACCCTGATGTAATTTTTTTTAAATGACTGAGGTTCTTTAATTTACAACACTCTTTCTTGTTTTGTTTTGGGGCCACACCCAGCCGTGCTTAGGGCTTACCCCTGGCTCTATACTTAGGGATCACTTTCGGTGGGGCTCCAGGAACCACATGGGGTGCCAGGGATCAAACCTGGGTCAATCACAAGCAAGGCAAATGCCCTACCTGCTGAACTATCACTCTAGCCCCATCCTTGGTTTTCTAAATGCTTTCTACCCCTATTTCTTCACATTTCTGCTACAAGTTCTGGATCTTAGAGGAGTAATAAGCAGCAAAATTCTGCAATGTCTCCACTATTATGGCATACCACTTGTGAGCTCTTCAGTGCTGCCTTTTTTTCCCCGTTGGTCACTCACTAGTCCAGAAATTAATCAGCAGGGGAAGTAAGCGCTCTGGGGACGAAGCATGCTGTTAGCCCTGCTGTCCTCAGCGTGGAGAGTTAGTGCTGAGCTGTGAGCCAAGGCTGGTGCCTTGTGGCTGAACCTTCCCTTGAGGTGGGTCCCTTGGCAGATGAGGAGAAACTGTTTACACCTCACAAGGGACAAAACAGAACGTTTGAGTCCTTGGTAAGCTTAGGAGCAAACTTTAGCTGTGACCATTGATTGTATAAAAGCTTGACTCTGGGCTCAGTTGCGTAGGAAAAACTGAACTCATGAAATTAAGTGGATAAAACATCTTTTAAATATCTTTGTGGAGTTTCTCCCCTTCCAAAAAAATTTTTAGGAAGTCAGAGCAATAGTACAGAGGGTCGGGCATTTGTCTTGCGCACAGCTGACCCAGGTTTGAGCTCTGGTATCTCTTATGGTTCCCCAAGCAAAGACAGGAATAATTCCTGAGTGCAGAGCCAGAAGTAACCTTTGAACAACACTGGATGTAACCCGAAAACAAATTATTTTTTTAATTTTGAAATTTAGATGCCAGGGCCATGGAGACAGTACAAGGGCTAAGTCCCTAGCCTTGCATGTGGCCAGCTGGGCTTCAATCCCTAGCACTGCATGGTCTTTTGAATACTCTCAGAAGTAACACGCCCTCCCTCCCAGCTCTCTGAGCTCCCAGCCAGGTGCAGCCTTCCAGGTACAACTGAGTGTGATCCTAATCCCCTGCCCCAAATGTAGATACCAATCTTAGGGAGCTTATAATTGAGAAGGGACTGGTATTCCCACGGAGCTGCCGCACAGGCCCTGTGAAGTATATGCTGGATGAGGAACAAGACAGGAGGGCTTATTGGGAGTGAGCATGAGAAGAACCTGCTTAGCCCTAGGTGGTCAAAGAAAGCTGCAATAAAAACAAGGTATTTCGTTTACATGTGAGTGGTTCAACATGGAGAGTGCCATACTAAGTGAAATGAGAGGGACAGGCATAGAATGACTGCACTCATCTGTGGAAAATAAAGTAACAGAATGGGAGACTAATGTCCAAGGATAATAGAGATAAGGGCCAGGAGGATTGCTCCACACATGGAAGCTGGCCTCATGTGCTGGGGGAAAAGGCAGCTGGGATAGAGAAGGAACCACGAAGCTTGGAGGACTCGCTGGGGATGAGAAATGTGTGCTGAAAGTAGACTATAGGCCAAACATCCACTTACTACCTATATTGCAAACCATAACACCCAAAAGGAGAGAGAGAGTAAAAGGGAATATGCCTGCCACAGAGGTCGGGGGAGGGGGTTGGTGGGAGAGATACTGAGAACATTGGTGGTGGAGAATGGGCTCTGATGGAGGGATGGGAACTCAAACACTGTATGAAATATAAACTGAAATGTAAACATGAAAGTGAACAGTCCCCAGCACTTCAGGGTCCCCTGAACACCTCTAGAAATGACCCCAAGCACAGAGTTGGGAGGAGCCACTGAGCACTGCTAAGTTTATCCATCTGCCCCAATCAAAAAAATACAGCACTTCACCAGGGCTTGTGGGTGTGAAGAAATAGTTTGTGCACTCCATCTGGCTCAGATGCCACCACACCCCAGCCCGTTGGGTCAGAGAGAAAGCTCAGCAGACTGGGGTGCTTGAGTCTGAGTTCGATCCTGGCACCTCATGTTCCTCTGAGCAATCCAGCGGGGACGGCAAGCACCAAACTGGAACGAGGCCCTGAGCATTATTGAGGATGGCCAAGAAAACAAAACCAAAATGGCACCCCTACTTGTCTCTCGTGACCAGGTGGTCTGAAGTACCGACTCCTGACATGCCTTTCCTCTGGTGGTATTGTCATGGTGTTCAGGGGATACTCTTGAATTATTTTCTGGAAATCACTCCCAGCTGTGCTGGGGGCACCCGGCCGGAGTTAGGCAAGGAATTCACGCCTGTCAGAGGCACAGCCTGTGCTCCAACCATTGAGCTCTCTCCAGCCATCCCACTATTTTCTCCTAACACATACCTACCTGCCCTTTCCTTGTTAGTGAAAGAGCTAAAAGTCTCCACTTCTGGGAGTGGAGACTCCAGCTCTTTTGTTCTCCCCCAGACACCAACCCAGAACTGTGCCTACTCAATGTGTTGCATATGTGAATAAGTAAATGAGGAGCTGGATGGATAACATTTTTATTTTCTAGGGCATCACGGGAATCCGTTTTGCTGGCGGAGAGAAGTGCTACATCAAAGCTCAGGTGAAGGCTCGAGTTCCTGAAGTGGGCACCGTGGCCAAACAGAGCATCTCCTCTGAGCTGGTGGGTACCACACGCAGGAGAGGGGTGCAGGCATCGAAGGCTCAGATCTTTCCATCTCTGGCTTCTGTGCAGGCTCACAACCACACATCAGCTCTCTTTCTGCCAAGTGTATTTAGACTCTTTTGATCATACGGGTTGGTTTTCCGTGACCATTCTTACGTGGTGTAGCATACTTAAGGGTTGGGAGGAGACACATTTAAAGTGTGTGCTTTGCATGTAGGAGGTCTGGGTTTGATCCCCATCACTGCATGGTCCCCCAAGTGCAACCAGGAGTGACCTCTGAGTATTGCTGGGTGTGGCCCCCAAACCAAATAAATAAATCATTAAAAAATAATGTGTGTAGCGGGGCTTTAATGTCACTGCTTGATGTCCATAAACTATCTGATTAGTGATGAAGGTGACCTAACTCATTTCCTACGACAGAAGCTTTGTCAAAGGTTCTCTGTAGCCTTCGATCCGAGTTGCTACTTCAGCTGCACTCAGTGTGGGACTCCTGCTAATATCCCCTCCGGAGCCAGGGCTGGTCACCCTCTGTGCGTGTCAGGCTACCTCACAGGGTTGGTTCTACTGCTGCCCAACAACTGAGCTGAGATGACTCCCCCAAGATTTCTTCACTGGTTCAAGGTCAGGCCAATGGCGCTTCCCAGCATATATCCAATTCCCTTTCTCTCTGTCAAACTTGTGAGTAGGATCTTTAAATACCATTCTTCTGTTATTAATAGCTTACCTTTGAACTTGACCTTTTCATTTTATTTTTGGTTTGCGGGCCATTCAGCTGTGTCGGGGCTTACTCCTGGCCTTGCGCCCAGGAATCACCCCTGATGGGGTTCAAGGAACAGAAGCCATGCCGGGGATTCAAACTGGGATCAAGGGTGCGCAAGACAAGTACCTTTGTCCCTGTACTATCTCTCTGGTCCAAGCTTAATTTTCTTAAATTACATTAAGGATTATACAAGTTTCGAAGACAAGTCTGGAAGAAATACTCAGCATTTATTTGATACCGGCTGGTCACATTCATCTTGTTTGAAATGGGGGCAAGTTATGGAGGAAATAAATGGACATTGCAGTCATTTGTGCTGGGCTCAAATCTCAGCCCGGACATTTGCTATGTGTTGAAGTGGCTTTCGAGCGTCAGTTTTGTCATCTACCAACTGAGGGTAGACATCTCATCCCCATGCCCTAGAACCTGCCAGGTGAAAATGAATAAATGGTTGCTGCCACAGTGATTAATTTTATTATGATCACCTTTGAGCCTCTCAAGGTCCCTTGAGAGGCAAGTGAGGCAAATCTCAGCTCCCTCCAGGCCAAAGAGGAAAAATAAGGGTAAGCAAAGGTGCCTAGAAACTGCCCAAGCATCTGCCCTCCCAGGAGCAGCCACTGGAGGTGACTCAAAACAAAAGCTAAAAACAATTTTTTTTTTTTTTTTAGAATCTGGAACTTTTTTTCAAGCTAGCTAGCCAGCCTGCCTGCAGTTTACCTGGCTTGATATGGGCTTGTTTCCTCTTGTCCATTCCCAGTCTCCCCACGCGTCCGTCCAGTCCGAGGTTCTTCCGGAGCCTGTGGCCCCAGTTCTAGTGTTTCTGCCACTTTACATCTTGCAGGACAGATGACCTGGCACAGAGAAGGAGAGTTGACAGGAAACCCCCACCCCACCCCCCACCCCCCCAAAGCCCTGGCCCCAGCCTCTTCTTTTGCAGTGCTGTGTTGCTGTCCAGTCACGGGATTACTTTGTAGTCTGGCAGGACTGGCGACCCTTGGTTTTCCCCTAAGTGAGCCTAGAGTGAGCGAGCCTTCATCTCTCTCTCCAGGCCAGCTTTCTCCAGCCACTGCTGGCCCAGACAGAATTCTCCATTTGTGCTTTTCCTGGTCTGCATTTAAAAAAATTTTTTTTTCTATTTTTGAAAGAAAAGGGTTTTTTTTTTTTTTTGTCATCATAGGAAATTTGAGTGATACATAAAAGAACAGGGAAGAAAATCAACCCTAACTGCATAATCCACAGAGAGCTACTGTTAGGTTGTGGTGAATTTGCTTCCTCTGCAGGGAAGGTGTGTGAGTCTGTCCATAATAGAGATTATACTGTTGCACACTCATTATTTTTTTAACCTTAGGCCTTTTAATACATAGATTAGGAGGGGCTGGAGTAATAGTACAGCAGGTAGGGTGCTTGCCTTGCACATGGACAACCGGGGCTCAATCCCTAGCATCCCATATGGTCCCCTGAGCCCCGCCAAGAATAGTCCATGAGCACTGCCAGGTATGACCCCCATAGCTCCCCCGCAAAAGCATTGATGAGGACCAGAGAGATGGCTCAATGGGCTTCAGCACACACTTTGCAAGCAGGAGACTGGGGTTCATGCCCCAGCTCAATGGGGGCCCCCAAGCACCAGCAGGAGCAAACCCAAACAGAGCCGGGAGTAGCTTCTAGCACTGCCAACAAAAAACAATAAACATAAAATAAGTGTTGATTATTTGGACACATTTTGATTATAATTTTGGGAACCTTTTGTCTTTGAATATTTCACAAAGCTTCCCCATTTCACCATCAAATATCAATCATTAAAAATCATTTCTAGATTCACGATGATGAATAGTGATCTAAATCTTAGTTGTTTGGGGTTTTTGTTTGTTTGGGTGCTTGTTTTGTTTTTTTGTTTGTCTGCCATCCGGTGGTGCTCTGGGGTCCCTCCAGGGTGCTAGCAGAACATGCAGCACTGGAAATCCAGCCCGGCTTCCTGCCCGAGAGCATGCCCTGGTGCCATCTCTGGGCCCCTGTTTAAATCCTTTGCATTAGATTCTTCCTCCATCGAGGTAGATTATTTTTCCTGTGTTTCAGTTGTTTATACTGTGCATGATGGATCCTCTGGTGAACAAAACCAAATTCAGACAATGTTTGTATGAATTAGAAATGTGTTTGCCTGTCAGTAGGAGAAAATGACATTTCAAAATGCCTTAAGCAAACAGGGATGTTTTCCTCTACAGTAAGCAGGGGGTAGGTGGCAGCAGGCCTGAGCTCAGTAACCAGTACCCCAGATTACCGAGGGCAGCAGGGGAGAGGTGAGTAAGTGAGACACAGGCAGGGAGGGGGGGTCTTGCTCCAGCTCCAAACATTAACCATATATTCGAGTAAGGGAAGTCGGGAAAGGTTGAACGGTGCCAACTGTGTCTTCCTTTTCACCAGAAATGCAGGCTTCTCCGCGCCCCCAACTTCAGCACAGATCTCATCAGCTAGGATGGGTGCCTGGCACTTGAGGAAGCTGAGAAAGCAAGTCTGCCTTGTGGGAAGAGCAGCGCGGTTGCCTCAAGCAAAAGCTGCGTTGTATTGCAAGGGAAGGGAGGAAGGAGACTGGGAGGGTGGATGAGGCGCCCCTCCGTAATTCCCTCCCACTCCTCATGGGCAGGAGGCGGGGGAGTGCCCATCCTCCTCTCTCTTACCCCCCCCACCCCCACCCACTCAGTGCTTTAGATGACGATGGGGTCGATTTATGCACCACTTGCTCTCATAAAATTTTCATCAGTTTTGTATAACTTCTAAAAGCTACTATGCCCAGAGAGTATTCATTTCCTGGATGGAGCCATTTAATTTAAGGTAAATAACTGGATTACCTGAATGTTAGCTGCCTCCAATAACTTTTAAGTTGTTTTAATGCAGCCATAAGCCTGGGGGAGAAAGCATAAATGAAATGCTGCTTTTAGCTAAAAATAAGAAGAAAACATTTTAATTTCTCCAACCTATTGCAAACTAATAAATACATGAGAAGAACAACCTGGCAAAATAAATTTGTCTCCTGGGTTATCAAACCATTCTCAGCATCTTGCTGTAGGAGTAAATCCAGGGTTTAGCTTTGAAATCTCAGTGGTGTGCTTGATGCAAGGAACATCTGAAATATGTTTTGTGAGAGCTGGGAAATGTAGAAATGGTTTATGTTAAATAATACTTTGAACTGAAGACATTAAAGAACCAATCACTTGTTTTTCCATTGTTGTTCGGAAGCTGCAGATCAAAACCCCGAAGGATTTTCACTTCAAATGAAAGGTTCCTCCATCCTTTAGAGGAGTCCAGGGTCCATTCAATTGCTTTTCCTCAAAAAACATCTTTGATCAAAAACATCAGATTAACCTAAACTCAAAGTTGGTATCAAGTAATTTTCACTTCTACTCAGGACACTCATATTCACATCGCAGCTATCAAAAGGCAGAACGGGGGCGGGGGGTGGTAGATGGGTGGGTGGGTGGGGACAGGACAGGCTATTTGGAAGGAAGGAGCTACAAAGAAGAGATGAGAAAGTTAGAGTGGGGGTGGGGGCATGTACATGGGCAAAGGCACTAAGGACATATTTCAAGATGTTACTTTAGGCACGGGCTGGAGCGATAGCGCAGTGGGTAGGGCGTTTGCCTTGCATGCGGCTGACCCGGGTTCGGTTCCTACGTCCCTCTGGGAGAGCCCAGCAAGCTACCGAGAGTATATCGCCTGCACGGCAGAGCCTGGCAAGCTAGTGACATATTCAATATGCCAAAAACAATAGCAACAAGTCTCACAGTTTGTTGTGAGACGTTACTGGTGCCCGCTCGAGCACAACGATGAACAATGGGAGGACAGTGCCACTTCAGGCACCAGTGATTTACCCTACTGTTAATGATAGAGATTTGTGTTGCTGCACTGCACACTCCAGTGTCCACTTCTTTCCACCCTTGTTGTGCCCAGTGTCCCCCACCAGCTCCTGTCCCCCACCCGTTCCCTTCCTTGGCGCTTAAGCTTCCTACTGAAGACCAGTCCTCAGTGTCCGTTGCCTTTGGGCATCTATTATATCCCTACGATGTTTATTTATTTCACACTTAGGCGAGATGCCCATTACTCATCTGATAAAGAGTAAATAGCCAAGATTTTTAAAGCACTGACTGTACTGTACAAGAAAAAAAAATCCCATCCAAAAAAAATGGAAGGAAGAAACAAAGTCGTGATATTTTAATAGGATATAATTGTCTGTGGCAGGGCGGGGGGTGGGTGGGGGGAGGAGATGGCTCCATCAGCCGAGTGCATGCTTTGCATGTGGGAGCCTAATTTGATCCCTGGCTCCGCACTGCTGGGGATGACCTCTAAGCACCCAACTGGGAATTGCCCCTGAGCACTGTCAGGTGTGGCCCCCAAACAAATGAACAACACCATTTTCATACCACATCGCTCATTATGATTTTGGTTTGGAGACCATACCCAGCTACACTTACTCAGGGCTTACTCTTGGCTCTACACTCAGGGGTCTCTCCTGAAGGGACTTAGGGGATATTCTGTGGGGCTGGGGATTAAAACCAAGTGAGTCAATGCAAAGCAAACGCCCTCCCCGCTGTGCTCTCTCTCCAGCCCACACGTGGATCACAGTTCAGCAGGTTTCTCCATGTCCTCCTAACTTTATGTGCATTTCCTTTGTGCTTCCTCCAGGAAGGGAAGATCATGCCAGTTAAATATGAAGAAAATGCTCTGATCTGGGTGGCCGTAGACCAGCCTGTGAAGGACAGCAGCTTCCTGAGCGCTAAGGTCTTGGAGCTCTGTGGCGACCTGCCTATTTTCTGGCTTAGGCCCACATATCCGAAAGGTAACGTCTGCATTCTCTTTCTCTGCGGGGGATTCTCCGTGTCCCTGTGTGGCTCCTGTGAGTCCTTCCACAGACCGGGCAGCCTGTGACAGTGTCACCATGTCTGGGGGACCGGCATGAGGGCTCAGAGAGGAATGTGACAGCGAGGAGAGCAGAGGGAAGAGCTGGATCAGCGGGCTGGCCAGACACGGGGCAGGTGACAAGAGCACCCAGACATCCCCAGATGTTTTTATTTATGAGTCTTTTACTCCCTTCTGCTCTAGCCCTTCATCTCACTTTGCTCTTTCCAATGTTACTTTTCTTTCTTTCTTTTTTTTTTTTTTTAAGATCCTAAGGTGTAGAGCCAAGGGACTAAGAGGTTGTCATGCTGCTGAATCTTTATTATGCTCAAACCTAGAATTATGGGACAGCTGGAAGAGGCTGTGGGCAGAGGTAATGATTCTGCAAGTTTCAGGCTTCTGAACCTCAGCTTCTAAGCACAGTGAAAAATAAATGAGGGGTCCCTGGGGCTCAGCACTTGGCTGTGCACACCTCTGAGCTATTTCTAGGATGATCCCTGAGCACAGAGCCAGGAGTAAAGCCCTGAGCACTGCCAGGTGTAGCCCCCAAACCAAAATAAATAAGGTCCAAGTGGGGGGTGCTGAAAGGTCTGAAGCACAGGACTCACATGTGTGAGTATCGCTCAGGATCTCCCCACCCTATCCCAGCACTATACTGAACGTGGCCCCCAAACCAAACAAGCAAAAACATGAAGATGGTAAATTTTGTGCATATTTTCCCACCAGCTTAGAAAGTCAGGCTTCTAAGTCTGCCAGAACGAAGAGGTTTGTACAGGGAAGCCTTGCTCTGTTCTTAAAGGAGATGGTCACTTCCTTATCTAAGCCAGGCAAAGAGGTGCAAGTGATAAGCCCCTCCCCCCGCAGTGGCTGACTGGAAGGGGGCCAAGGGACCCCAGCAGACATGTAGGACCCATGGGAAAGAAGTGCAAAAGGGCTGGAGAGGCACCAACCCTTGCTCCACTTTGCCATCCTTCTTTTTGCCTAATGGTAGGTAAAGAGGAAGCACAAGAATCCATGCTCTCCAGGTATTTACGCTGTAGCAAGGGAAGATGATAAATGAGCACTGATGCGAGGTATTAGAGGGAAGTGAGGAGCAAGGCAAAGGCACTGGCATGGAAAGACAGTGCAATTGGCAGTGCCGGGAGCCCTGGTGGGGGCCCTCTCCCCGGGGAAAGAGCTGGCTCCCATGTCCAACATGGAGCGAGGCCCCACAAAGCCCAAGAGTATAACCCCCCCCACACACACACACACTCTTTTTCTCATTTCTTTTTCGGGGGTACATCTAAAACGTTTAATCACTGCAACATCCATGCAAATGATAATGTAGAGCAGAAAAGTGAAACCACGCAAAGCACCCTGAAGTTCCTTTGGCATTGATGAGCACAGATGGAACATCATAGAGGTTAAAACTGAAGTACCACCCCACCGCCCTGCAATATGTAGCCCTGGGGTCCTCTCATAAATGCAGCCATGTTTTACAGCAAAACTCAGGAAGATAAAATCCCTGAGGATGCCTGGTTCCCCACTACCTAATTAATTGCTCCCTCCCCTGTCCCTTCCCTCTATTGATGTTGCTGCTCAGATGACCAAGGTATGTAGTCTCTCACATGAACACACACACACACCCTCATACACACATACCCTCATACACACACATACATACACACACAAAACTGTCATGGCGTCATTGTGGTTCCCATGTGGTTGTCCTCCTTGTTCTCCTGAAGGCCACTCTCTTGCTGTGTCTGCACATGGCTGCAGGAAGTATGTGTGTGTGGTGCCAGGTTGTGTTATCTCACACAAATTGGGGGCGCGGCACCCACACGGCGGCGGCTCTATCTCTCCTGCCACCCGCGTTCGGTAGTCTCACCCTTCTACCACCCCGGTGAGGTCGATGGCGATGGTCAGGCGGAGGAAGGAACGAGGGCCAGGCTGGTTGGTATTAGTCATAGTTTATTCTGATTCTCTCCTCTCCTCCTCTGTCTCTCTATCTCTCTCTGCTCCCATCTCTCTCTGTTTCTCCTCGTCTCTCCTGTCTCTGCTCCCATGCTACTTCATTCTCCTTCTCCATCCCCCTTCATCCTCCTCTTCCTTCTGATCCTCTCTGAACTTCTGCTTCTTCCTCCTGCCCCAGCCCGCTCCTACAGGATAGTTAAATTCTCTCTCCATGAGGAATTGGGGAAACAATTACACATAGGTGTGGTCACAATCAATAGGGGTGGAGATCAACAGGGGTAGAAATCTTAGCCTCAGGGAAGACCGCTCCTAGGACAGATCCTTCCTCAACAGGAGGACCCACCCTAGAGCAGAATCCCATGGGCGTGCCTCTCCTCTCCTTGTCCGACAAGCATATAAAAATATAATATAAATCATTTTGTATGGATACAGTAAGAAATATCTTAAACTTATAGAATTGTTCTCCTAGGGCCATCTCGATCTCAGACTACGGTGCTCAGGCCAGATAGTCTTTCCCACCCCTAGCAGGATCCTAGTCTTGTCGTTACCTTGGCTCATGACAGCATTTGTCCATGATCAAACTCTTAACTTATAGTTAAGAATCGTGGCACTTTGGCCTGGCCCATTTCGCTGCCAGGGTAGCTCACTGCTTGCCCTGGGTCCATTCAGTCCCTCGTCGGGACCCTGCTTTTGGGGTGTTAGGAACTAAGGGCAACTGAGGCTTAAGTTGAGAAAGATGCCCGGGAGTGAATAATATTCAAGGCCAATCAAATCCTAAATTACAAAGCATAATGTTAACGGTCTTCCTGTATCTATACAAAAAGGATATTACTTTAAGGTAAATTATTCATAAGGCATAGGGAGGAGAAAGGCAATATTTCACTCTAAATATAAAATCATAGATTTCTGGGAAACTGATCTTACAAATTAACAAAGTCTGATTAAGGGGAAAGCTGATTAACTGGGTGGGAAGGAGAGCATAGGAAAGACTGTTTACATGTTTACATGTAAACACAATGGAAGTGGAAGTGCCTCTGGAGCACTGTGGTGGGTGTAACCAGATTGATGGGTGTAACCAGATTAATGGGTGTAACCAGATAAAACCTAAGCTTCTTGAAGGACAAAGCAATGTTACCCAACACCAGGTAACACCCAGCAGAGTTCCCAGGCACAACCAGCACCTTTGCCAGCATCCCACTTCACTCAAGCGACACATGTGCTAACACTGAGGATCAAACTCAGGGCCTCACACTTGGAAGGTAGGCATTTCAGTCATGACATATCATCCCCCCCCCCCCACCTCCCTCATTCTGATAGAAGTCCCCTTGGATCTTTAAGCTGGCAGGGTCACAGAGCAGTACTGTCAAGGACAGGGAATGTTGGCCGGACAAAGTCAGGTGAGCGAGAGCCTAGCTCTGTCTATGGTTCAGGCTCTGTGCTAGAACTTTGTATTCTTACCAACAACTGTCCAGGTAACTTTTTCTTTTGGTGCTCGGGGAACTGTGTGGTACCGAATATTGAAACTAAGCCTCCTGCATGTAGGGCCCATTGAGTTCTCCAGCTCTCCGAGCAGGCCTCAGCAGCAGCAGCAAGTGACATATGGATCTGGAGACCTTTTACTTGTTTTGCACCCTGATAAGCACAAAATGCCCTTGAAAATTCAGCAAAGGAACTAATTTAGCAATTTTGGGGGGCAGGGATCCGGAGAGAAAGAAGAGAATTGGTAAGAAAAATTGTTACAACTGCCACAAGAAGACCAGCCGGTGGACCAAGGGGCAATCCAGGCTCTGGTAGAGCAAATAATGAGACCAGACCCAACATTCAAGAGGATTCGGAGCCCTTCAACCCAGATAATCCTTACCACGTGCGTACAAGCTGATTTTCAGGCTCTGCTCTGACCAATGCATTAACCCTAACAACATCTGGCAATATTTTCTACTTCAAATTTGCATCTAGAATTTCTATTTTATATATTTGTTTTAAATACATTTTACATATTGCATGTTTTTATATCTTATATATTTTGAGAATAGTGTTCTATATCGCATAAGAATTTGGCATATAAAGATTTGATTATATAATAAATTATATTGCAATTTTACATCTTGATTTCTTGCAGTTTATAAAAAGGTACAAACCTAATCACTGTAGGGCGAAATTCTGATTGATTTAATCATATTCAAAGGTGTTTCTTGGACTAAGAGCGTAGCAAAAAGGTGCTTTTCTTGCATGTGGCCAACCGGGGTTTGATCCCTGGCACCCCATATGGTTCCCTGAGCCTGCCAGGCATGATCCCTGAGCACACACCCAGGAGTAAGCCCTAAGCACAGCTGGGAGTGACCCGAAAACCAAGTAAATTAAAAAAAAAAAATCAAAGGTATTCCCTGTTTTTGAGTCACAGAAAAAACTCATAGAAAAAAAATTTCACATGAAGAATTTGATTATCAACTAATGTTTTCAAGAGTGCCCTGGAGGTAGCAGAAAGAAAGGATTCCCTTCTTCCTTCAGAGCCATTTTATTCATGCCGTCAGCAGGCATGTGTCAGGAACCCATCCTTTCCCAGGCCTTCAATGCAAAAACTCTGCCCCCAGGCTCTCAGTGCAGTTGGGAGACAGACTAATGCTGAGACCATGTTTGCAAGGATGTTCACATGCTTTATGTTCTCAGATATCCCATATTTATCATTATACTTTGCATAGAGTGAAAAGAGGGTACTAATGTCTTATTTGAAAAAGTAATACATACCTATATACACATTTATGTATATATATATATACACACATATATACGTACATATATTTTTGTACAAAAATTATATACGTTTCTTGGGGGCAGAAAAACACTCGGTTTCTCTGCTTTCCAGGTCAGTTTCGCTTTGAGGGGTCTTTCGCTTTGCAGTCTGCTTTGCAGGTGTTAAGACACTCGCTTTGCACAATAGCTGACCCCAGTTCAGTCACCAGTGCTGCATATGGCTCCCTGAGCACCACCAGGAATGATCCCTGAGCACAGAGCCAGAGCCCTGAGCATTGCCAGGTATAACCCAAATACTACCCCCCCCCACATATGTATGTATGTGTGTGTCTCCAAGTTGCAGGCAAAGTGTGTTTGTGTGTATACACATATATATGTATACATATTTCTGCACTTAGGATTATTTCACAAAGGAATATACAAAACTTTTTTTTAACAAAAGTATCTTATTGGGGTCAGATAGGTAGTACAGTGGCAAGGTGCTTGCCTTGCATGGCCAACCAGGTTCCTATTGCACCATATATGTTCCTGAGCCCCACCAGTAGCGATCTCTGAACACAGACACAGAAATAAGTCTTAAGCATTGCTGGATGTAGCCCCAAATCCAAAACATCAAACATGCTTGCTTTGTAGTTAAAAGCCATCATATCGCATTGGGTGAAGATATACAACTATTTAATTACTTCTGCTTTGGTGGACTTGAAACTATTTCCCTATCCTTTGCTGAGATACTAATAGTTTCTCTCTGGTGCTGGGGATGAAACCCAGGGCCTTACACAGCCTCAGCCTGGTTACAAATCATTTGATCTTGGAAAGGGGAGAGGGGTCTCTTGAACAGTTAGGGGACCTGGGGGCCACTCCCTGTAGTTATCAGCCAGCGGGTCCTGACTGTTCACTGTGAGAGCTGAGCATGTGGTGCTGGGGACACCAGGGCCACCTTGGTGGTCGTGAGGGATCTCTAGGGCCACACCCCACAGTGCTGAGTCGGGCCATGCTGAACTGGGAATTGAACGGGGCCAGGAACACATGCTCTTCTAACCCTGTATTCCCAGCCCCACGAGGAATTTAATTTACACAACTTTGTAGAGTGCATGCATCACGGGGTTAGGATACGTTACAGGTCATGCAGGGAATGCGCTATAGCACGGGATTTTGATTGATGTATACTTGTGTTAATCAGTGCTATTCAGTTTTCTACCTCTTGCACACCTGTGAAAGAGTAGTGCATTTTCACACAAGTACTGATGCATCGGTCTCTCAGGCCAAAGGAAACTGTATTTTATGTTTTAGTGGATACCAAACTGTCATCCAAGGAGTTACATACACCACTGTGACTCCAAATGGTAATCAAGACTCTTGTTATCAAAATGTAAAATATTTCCAGTCTTTTAGGTATAACATTTTATCTTCCTAGTAGTTTGTTGAGCCTGTAACTCTATAACAGATGTCATTTGTATATTTTTCCCTATATAGCCTGTTTAGTTCTATACTTTCATGTGCTGCAAATATATTTTCTAGTTCATCATTTTAGACCAGTATGTTTTAGAATTATTTAGAGGAAAAGTATTTTTAAATAACCCAAGGCTTATCAGAAAATTCAGGACACCACAGTACTTCATTCCCTAAAGCTTGAAGAATGAAAATGAAATGTGGAAAAAAAATCTGAATAAGCAAACAGAAAATTTAATATCATTTACTCCCTGGGCAGCTGGACTAGCTGAATCTAGTTCAAAGGAAGAGGGCATCAGGTTCTTTAGAGGCCGGGATTGAGTCTGCTGGCTTTCTTTCAGATGTGAGCGATTCTATTCTTCAACAAACTCCCACTATGTCATTTTGGGGGTAGGAGTAGCCACATCTGGTGGTGCTCAGTGGCGGGCTCCTTGCTCGGGGGACCATATGTGATGCTGGGATTCAAATGGGCCTCCACATGCAAAGCAAGTGCTCAAGCCCACTGAGCTCTCCCCCTTCCGTGGTCCACTTTTTATTGTTTTTTGAGCCACACCTGGGGCTCAGGGATTCCTCCTGGCTCTGAACTTTTGGCGGTGTTTGGGGGAGTATATGGTGGGGCGGGGGATTAAGCCCGGATCAGCTGCATGCAAGGAACACGCCTAACCTGCTGTTGCATCTTGCTATCCTGCCAGCCCCTAGTCCACTTTATAAAGCGTGGAGCGTTAAGCACCAGCACCTGCCATGATCTAGTTCAGGGGTTCCAAACCTTAGCTGGCCTATCGCACTTTCAGAAACTAACAAACAAAACCCACAAAGCACCCTCCTTGGAAAATCTACCTTCTTTAAGCAAAAACAAAGTGCCTTCGGATTACACCTTAGATTACTACTGCCCCCTCCGGATTATTCCAGCACCCCTCTCGGCCCTGCCACCTCCCCCGCCCCCAACTCTTTTTTTTATTATTTTTAAAAATTTTTATTAGTGAAACACCATGAGGTACAGTTGTAGACTTACAAATTTTTGTGTTTGGGTTTCAGTTATACAGTGATCGAGTACCCATCCCTCCACCAGTGCCCATTTTCCCCCACCACGGGTTCCAGTCTCCCTCCCACCCCCCCATCCCCCCACCCCGCCCTTCCTCTGTGGCAGGGCATTCCCTTTTGTTCTCTCTCTCCTTTTGCCACCCCCAACTCTTATCCGGTCCTTTACGTAGTCCTTAGAGGAACTATATTAGGGCAACAACCTGAAATTTCCTCCCTGTATCTTCATCCTAGCAAAGCTTTCTTGTAGCATTAGGGGGAAATGTGCCTCAGTCTCTAGGTGTGTGATACCACCCGCCCACCCCCAATCCTCGTCCCATGTCTGCCACCATGATGAGGTGGTTTTCTTTCTGCTAGCCCAGATCAACCTATCCTGAACGATCAGGGAAAAAATAAAGCCCGAGAAAATTTTTATACAAAGGCACTAGCGAAAAAGCAGTATTTTAATGACAGAACTTGATCAAATGGTGTTAGGAATTTTATTAGGTGTGGTGATGGCAGCGTGGTTGTGTGGAGGTATATTAACATAGTGTAATACTGTGGAGGTAAAAAAAGGTAAAGGCCCTCCCGTTGATCGTCGATTTGCTCGAGCGGGCCCAGTAACGTCTCCATTGGAGACTTTGTTGTTACTGTGTTTGGCATATCGAATATTCTCGGCAGCTTGCCGGGCTCTCCGAGAGGGGCAGAGGAATCGAACTCAGGTCGGCCATGTTGGCCGCTTGTAAGGCGAACGCCCTACCACTGTGCTATCGCTCCAGACATATTCATGCCACAATGCTTTCAATTATTTTACTTTACAATTTAAAAGACGTTACTGGTGCCTGCTCGAGCAAATCGATGAACAATGAGAGGACAGTGCCACAGTGCTACAATTTGAAAAAATACCTCAGCAAAAATGTCAAGCATTTGGACTGGAGTACCATGGGTAAAGCACAAGGCCAATCCACTGTGTTTGAGCCCTGGCGATGTATATGGTCCTTTTTAACACTGTAAGGAATAAGCCCTGAGCACCACCAGGTGTGGCTCAAAATCCCAAAAACAACAAAATCCAAGGTTTGATGCAAGGTAACACTGTCAAATCTAAATGTTAATTATACACACTTATCTACTTCCCAGTTTGAAATTTTTCCTTAGAAAATTTTCACCCTTCCCCCAAAATTATGTATCTTGCATATGAAAAGGCAAGAGGGTTTGCTTAAGTTCAGTTTGCTCAAGCATAACCTATGTTTAATGCTGCTTCTTCCAAAATTCAGCTACCTCCAGCAGAGGTTTAAATTCAATCAAGAGTTTGCATTAATGATAGGGGCCTCTTGGCAACGTGATGCAATAGCACATTCAAGAAGATACAGAATCTACACTTCAAAACCATAAAAGGGAAAGCCAGACATTTGCGCTGTGGGCCAAGTTTCTCCCAGTTCTGTGATCTCTCCAGTAGTAACAAAATGAGAGATTTTTGTGATTTTCACCTTAATGTTTTCAGGGCCACCTGGCTGTGATCAGGAGAACCAGGTGATGCCAACATTGAACCTGGGTCTCCTGCATGCAAAGGCCCTTGAGTTTGTTCTTGGCTCTATTAATATAATTCTGTAACTAAAATGCGGCATCTAGAAACTAGTGACAGTAGAGCAGGTAAGGTGCTTGCCTTGCACATGGCCAACCTGGGTTCAGTCCTCAGCATCTCACCCACGAGCCTGCCAGGAGTGATCCCTGAGCCCAGAGTCAGGATTAAGTCCTGAGCATAGCCAACTGTGGTCTTAACCAAAAAAGATACTAGCAGTTTACTAGGGAAGTTTTGTCTTTAATTTTTGTGTATTTTATGGTGACTTTTCTTAAGAGTTTAATGTCAAAATGGAGGCAGAAGCTAAGCAAGTGTTTCCAACCAGTGCGACTAGTATAGCAATTGTATTTTAGCCTAGATCCGTTATTTCAAAACAGTGTTGCTCCCAAGAGTCCTGGAATCCTTTACTACAAGAAGGCACCTGTGTGCAACTAAGTTAAAATTAGCAGTGGTAGAAATGCTGTTGAATCTGCTTCCTTTTTGAAACAAGTCATTACTCAGTGGTAATGGTTCATTAGAACCATGAAGAGACTTTAATAGATTAGGGAGCTTGAAATTCTTACATGCTAGGGTTGGGGGAGTCATACCAGCCATGCTTGGAGCTCCTACACTCACCATGGGTCGCTCCTGTTGGTGATCAGGGGACCAGGTGATGCCCGGAATCAAAACCAGATCTCCCAACATGCAAATACATGCTCCCCACTCCCTGAATTCCTTTAAGTTAAAAGGAATTCTGATTTAAAAAGGTTGCAAGGGCTGAGGACATGGCTCAGTGGCAAAGTGCATGGGGAAAAATCAAGTATAGATTTAAAAACTTATAGAAAGTGATTTCTGGGGCTGGGAGGCACAGCTCTGTAGCAGAGCCAGCAATCCTGCAGGCATGAGGCTGCAAGTTCAGTTCCAGATTTTTCACACTTGCTGAATGCGGTTCTCACTGGGCATGGAGTCTGGTGCATTGCAACCAAGCATGGTGCAATTTCCAGTCATCTCAACAACAAAGGAAGGAAGACATAGAACTGGAAATGACACCTAAGCACAACTGAAAAAAAAATTCCTATAGTAGTGAAATATATTCAGGATATGATCTGCAAACAGTGTGTACGTGTTATAAAATCACTCCGGAGAAAACCCAAATAATTTTCTTTTGTTTCACAGCAGCAGGAAGGGGAAGGAATGACGTTCGACCCGAGACTGGATCATGAAGGAATCTGCTGCATAGAATGTAGGAGGAGCTACACCCACTGTCAGAAGATCTGTGAACCCCTGGGGGGCTACTACCCATGGCCCTATAATTACCAAGGCTGCAGGTCCGCCTGCAGAATTGTCATGCCGTGCAGCTGGTGGGTGGCCCGCATCTTGGGCATGGTATGAAATCACTTCATCTACCAGGTGCTACAGAGTAGAAATTAACTGAAAGACAAAGTAGCAGGAGGCATCTCGATACCAAAGTATTTTATACTCAATCTGTTCGATGCTATTTGAGAAACCGTTAAAAGAATTTCTCAATTGCTTCACAGATTTTTTTCCAGGCTGTGCAAACATCCTGAAAGAGTAGCTTTAAATTCAAAAATGTCATAATAATCCTATTATTGCTATTATTTGCTTTGCTTTGCCAGTAAGGCCTACTTAGAAGACTACTAAGGTAGTCTGAAATAAATGTGGAAAGAAAATTACTTAGAATTATTTTTTAAAGAGCTCAACTGTTTCCTTTTAACTCACTGACTGCAACAATTACTTGTACAGAATTCCTCAATGATTCTTAACCTTCATTGTTCCTCACAGTCCTGCACATAAGTGTGTCATCCCCACCACCCCATTTCCAGATATAAAAGACAAGCAGACATAATCTGAGCAAACGCTGAGGGTCCCAGAATGGGGGGCCCTGGGAAATTCCCCTGGGATGCGCCTGCATGTGACTGACAGTCACTGTACTGAGTCAAGAGACACTTCCAGGAGAAGAGCATTAGAATAAAGAGGGGAATTGTACTGAAGATGAATCAGGCAGGCAAGAGGGACTTTCATTGACATTCTCAAAGGCAGGCCTTTGCAGCCTTTTCAATCTCCCGGTAAGTGGTCTGGGTACGCAGAAGGGCGAGGATCTCTACCTTCCTAGTAGTAATCAGCCAGCTGCTGTAGTCCAATTATCACGAAGCTTCTTTGGCAGTAACAGGGCTGACAGTGCTGCTTAGTAGTTAGTGCTGGGTAGGGATTTATTTGTAAATAGATTAAGATAGGGCTGGAGCAATAGCACAGCAGGTAGGGCATTTGCCTTGCAGGCGGCCGACCCAGGTTCTATTCCCAGCATCCTGTATGGTCCCCAGAGCACCACCAGGAGTAATTCCTGAGTGCAGAGCCAGGAGTAATCCCTGTGCATCGCCGGGTGTGACCCCTCCCCCCAAAAAAGAGAGAGATGAGATCTCCCAAGGACATGTACTGTCTTTACAAAGTATTAGACCAAGAGGATAACTGATGTTTCATAGTTTTTGCCATTCATTTGTTATTTAAGCTCTGGATACCAGTTTGAGAAATAAAGAACGTTCTTTTTTATTTTTTAAGAAAAACAAGTTTTCCGTAACAAAAGGGTTCAGAGATGCCAGACTGGTCTTGACATCTTGATCTCACTAGAGTTCCATATTCTACCTTCACTTGATCACCATCCATCTAGTTGCCATCCTAAGTTTGTAAAAGATTAACAGAATTTTTAAATTGTTATCGAATGAACCTCGTTACCAAATGAACATCAATAGGCTGCGTTTAATAAAACAGAACAACAAACTTATGTCACAGGAGGAAAAAGGAATGAGGGAAAGACATGGGATTAATTATATGCAACAGTTTACACTGTCCTCAGCAGCTACAGCCTGCAAGATATGGATTTTACATTTAGTCATTAATGGTATCACTTATTTTTTGTTTTTGTATCACTCCTGGCAGTGCTCAGAGCACCATATGGGATGCCGGGGATTGAACCCGGGTTGGCTTCATGCAAGACAAATAAATGCCCTACCAGCTACACTATGGTTCCAGCCCAAACAGTTGTCACTTTTTAATGCAATTAATGTGCCAAAGGTCCTGCCTACTCACTAACATCACTGCCCAGCAACCTGTATATGAGAGAGAGAGAGAGAGAGAGAGAGAGAGAGAGAGAGAGGGAGGGAGGGAGAAGGGAGGGGGGAGGGAGCGAGAGCTCAGGTGCACACCAGGACTCAGTGCCAAAGGCCTTGTTAAAGACAGGGGCTGGAGGAAGGAATCGTGTGAAATCAGAGGAAGAGCTGGCCAGGCAGAGGGAGTAGTTCCAGTCAGTAAAACCACAGATGTGGATCTGCATGGTACAGTTAGACAGGTGCTCAGGGCTTACTCCCAGTTCTGTGCTCTGGGATCATTCATGGTTGGGCTGGTGATTGGAGCATATGATCCCAGTATGTGAAGTAAATAACTTGAGTTTATTTATTTAAGAAAAGTAAAACTAAAGTAGCTTTTTCATAACAAAAGGATTCAGAGATGATGAGGTACCCAGCAGTGCTCAGTGACCCTGTGTGATACCAGGGTTAGAACATGTCCAGACTGCAGCTGCACACGAGATAGAAATGACCTTTTTTGCCCTAACCTCATACTTGCTGTCTACTGCAATCAACAGACAGAAGAATGTATTCCAGATAACCAGCGACTCCCTTTGAGCCTCAGCCTGTAGTTCTCAGGTGCTGTTTCCAGGAGTGCTCAGGAAATCATGCGGTGCCAGGACTGAACCCAGGCGCCTGCATGCCAAGCAAATGTTCCTGCCCTCTGAGCCAACTTCCTGGGCCTCAAAAAGAAATACAAGCTATATTCTTATAAAATAAATGCCAAATGTGAGTAAATTCTGCTTTGGTGTAAGTTCAATATGCTGATTTGTCTTAGGAAGTTTTCTAGGAATGACAGGGTTTAAGTGAACCAATTTGCTGAGGTGGGTGTAGACCAAATTCTATGGAGTAATGTGGTCTCCATTGCAGTATCATTTGAGTCGGTGTAACCCTTAGCAGAAACATTTACAAGCAAAACTGAGTTCTGGTCTTTCTGAAATACAGGTGGATACTCCTTTCGATTTGGTCTAAATTTTGCATTTTGGACTACACCCAGCAGTAGTTCAAAACTACACTCAGGGGCTATTCCCAGCTTCATGCTTGGGGTATCTCCTGATGATATTCAGGGGACCCATCTACCATAATCTACACACATACAGTGGCCACCTGAATGCAAAGCAGGCACACAGTATGTTGAGCTACGTCTCTGGTCCAAACTGAATTTCTTTTAATGGGCTTTTGTACATACAGGCATGCTCATTCTCCATGCACATACACGTTTCACTTTGGTGAAGCCTAATATAGAATCAATTTACAAAATAGGCTTAGTAGTATAGACTTTTAAGAAGAAAAGGATTCATCAGGCTGAAGAGATTGTTCAAAGGGCTGGGGCACAAGAGTTGCATTAGTGAGGCCTGGGTTTGATCTCTTGGCCCACAGGGACCCCAGAGCATTTCACTAGTATTAGCCCACCCCTACCTCCCCTAAAGAACTCATCTAAGTTTACTAACTTACATTCAGAAGTAATTCTTTTTTGGGGGGACGTGGGGGGGTGCTTACTAAAAGTGCATCTACATGTAAATTTACACATGTATATTAACGTAAACCTAGCAAATAGTTGATGTTATTACCTTAGGTGTTTGGCTTACTGAACCTTTTCCATTTTAATGGATTTTAAATCCTATAGAGTCATTCTTTATTAGTTTCAATGTTATCACCAGAGTGATAAAAATCAGTAATAGGCTGGGGAAGATAGCTCAAAGGGCCAGCGTGCATGCTTTGCATGCAAAAGCCCAGGTTGTATCACTGGTACCACAAGGTCCCCAGAGATAAGCTGGGACTAGTCCCAGAGCACCTTGAGGTGCTGTGCAAAACAAATATCAGTATATGTTTCAAGGCTATTAAGTCCCTAAGTTAAAGTAATAAATTATTGGAGCCAGATAGCACAGAAGGTGCATGCTTTGCATGCATCCAATCCTTGTTTGCGTCCCCAGCACTACATATGGTCCCCCAAGAGACACCAGGAATGATCCCCGAGCACAGCTGTGGCACAACATCCCCACAAATTAACAAAAAAAGAAAAAATTTAAAAGCAAATTATTAAAAACCATACCTCACTAAATGTCACCTGTGTTTAGTAATTACATTCACAATGTTATCATATTCCCAATCTCTGTGCCTGCTCCATCATGAAAATTCTCTTCACACCAAATTCATGTAACTGAATCAGAACCCCAGAAACCTCAGAAAATTCAACCCTTTTCCTCACCTGTAACCTGACTACAAAAATCTTTAATAAGTAACGAAATAGCTTGGAAGATAGAACCTGCACATTTAAAAATAGCACTGTTTACAAATTCACTTGCAATTACCGCTTTAAAGGACCTCATTTCTACAGCTTCCTGTCCTTCAGCCTTGCAGTGTGGATTACTTAATTGCTGAAGTTTATTTTCAATCGCCCATATTCCATTAACCTAGACCATTACCCATATTTTTGTAATTAATTTGTTTTATGCTGACATAGTCAAAGACCTGGAATAAACTAGTCAACCATGAACTTTCTCGTAGAAGGCATGATGCACTTATAGGCAGTCGTTTCGATTAAAAATCATACTCCTTGTTACAGAACTATATTAACTAAGTGGTTAAAAAAAAAAAAGTCTTCCCTTTCCTCCCGGTCCCAATGAGACCCCGAGTCGCCGCCCACAAATGGCCTCTATGGCTCCTGATCAAGCTGCTTAACAGCCATGATCCCAGACACTCAGAAACAAATCTTGAAACCCAGCGGCTTTTGGCAGAAATGTGTCCGAACCCTGTAGTAGGTTACTATCGCCGGGCCACCCCAGGGGGGGAAAGGGTACTGTCACTGTCCCTCCACCTACTCCCCCTTGGCAGCTCGATGGCTGCCATCCGCCAGAGGCCACTGAACAGTCAGGTTTGGGCCCGCAGTGACAAGACACGCAGGGAGGGCCTCATGGGATGGGGGTAGAGCCGGCCCTTTCCTCCGGAGTCACCACCCACGAACGGCCTGTCTCCTGATCAAGCTGTTTAATAGCCATGATCCCAGAGACTAAGAAACAAATCTTGAAATCCAGGGGCTTTTGGCAGAAATGCGTCCAGTCCCTGCAGTAGGTTACCGGTGCTGGGCAAACCCAGGTGGGAATAGGTTTCGTGCCTTGGCCTGTTCCCCTGGTGGCCCAGTGGCCGCCATCCTCCAGAGGCCACTGGACAATCAGGTTTGGACTCGCAGTGATGAGAAATGCAGGGCCTCACGGGATGGGGATGGACCCGGTCCTTCCCTCCCAACCCCAAGAACCCGAGTCGTTGCCCACGAACGGCCTTTCTGGCTCCTGATCAAGCTGCTTAACAGCCATGATCCCAGAGACTCAGCAACAAATCTCGGAACCCAGCAGGTTTTGGCAGAAATCCCTCCAGATTTAAGTGTTAAAATTTCGGAATTTCAAAATCTCACAGCTACTACTGCAGCCATGCAACAT